AAGAGAGTGTTTAAAAAAAGACATTGGGGCAAATTTTTTACACAAAGGGTGATTCATGTGTGGAATGAATTTCCTGAGGAAGTGATGGATGTGGGTACAACTGCAACATTTAAAAGACACTTAGATAAGTACGTGAATAGGAAAGATTCAGAGGGATATGGGCCAGGAGCAGGCAGGTGGGATTTTTTTAGCTTGGGATTATGGTTGTACCAAAGGTTCTGTTTGCATGCTGTATATGATTCTCCAGTTAGAACCACCTGTTTCATGACTCCTTAGTCTCTGCCCTTCATTTGTCCTCCATCTTCCAAAAGCGACTAGCCAGAGCTGAATCTGCCTTCTTCATCCATCCTTCTGTTTCAACAAGTTTCACTCTTCCTAATTAGATGTGAAGACTCAGCAAGGTGTCAACTTCTGCTCTGATGGAGGGAGTCCAAGAAAGATATGATGTTGCTTCCCACAAGGAGTCTTCCAACTGACTGTTCTGGAATGTATTTTGGAGTCTGGGTTCATGCTTTGACAGCGCAGTACACAGGGAGCAGTACATCATGTGAATGTGGAGATGTTGAGGTGTTTTTACCTTATCTACAGTAGACCTTCATTTCTCCATCCCCACTGTCTTTTATAGCTTGCCACTCCAGCCAAATCAAGGGTCAGTTCTCAAAGTGCATCAGTGAAACTGTGGCACACCACTGTCTTTCCTTCTCCATGGCATTTAATTCCCATTTGGCCTGTAAGGTGAATGAAGACAATTGGGGCAATGCGTCTCTTCCTCGTCATGAGCAGCTTTCCTTTGTCAAATGCTGCTGTAAGTCTGTACTTCACTTTCCAGACCAATAGCAATAGGATTCTGACTTTTGCTTTTGCATTATGAAGTATATTGAACACATATCTATTTCCATTGGCAGGAGAGCGCATGCACCCTCAGAATGCCTACCTCTTTGCAATTTACCAACCAGAAGGTATGCTGCCTGGGTCTATCTTTGGATTAATCTTTTCAGAAATTAACTGAAATGCTCTGGTACTGGGCACATACCTCTGTTGTTGACCTTAACAGCCACCTCCATCCACACAAAGGGTTTGGGTCCCTGAAGTGACCACAGCGCCAGGGCCCAGAGCCTGGAATGGAATCCCCTCATTGGCACAGAACACAATATTTTCTGATCAACCTATTCAGAGATGTTATTACACACCTCTGAAGCAGGTGGGTCTTGAACCCAGGTCTTCTGGTCCAGAGGTAGGGACACTACTGCTACACCATACCCAAATCATTCCAAGTGCACTTGCCTGACTACAGTTCCTCTATCACCATAATAATTATCCTTCAACTGTGTTTTAGTTCTCAGGGGATGGAATTTATGGCATTTTGTTAGAATGCAGAATATTTGAAAAATTGATATGTTGACTCCTCAGTATTCTGTTGCAAAATTCCTGTACCTAATTCTTTTCCTCATATTATTTAATATTATGGCCTAATTCACATCATTCCTATCAACTTCCTCCATTGTTTCTTGACAAAGAAGTAAAAACAGGGAAGGACCTAGAGACATGTCTGAGTATCCTCATAAGTATCCTGATAAGAGGTTAGTTGGCATTGACATTTATGATGTTAGTTCTTGGCCAAAGATGTGGTGCTTAAATGGGAAGTAATAGTGAAGATCATTTTGAGTCAGATGCAGTTTGTCTGAGAGTTGCTGGAAGTTTGCAATTTTACCCTTGTAGACCAGTTAATCTAATGTGGTAATATTTTTATATTGGTTACTGAATTTACGTGTGAGCATTTTTTCAGCAGATTGGAAAGGTGGTGAGACATCTGAGCAAAACAGAGGTTTCTTGCCAGTGTTCCTATCTGTGCTGCCGTGAATGCTTCTGCATGCCTGATCTCTTTGTATGTTGGGGGTAGGTTATGTATGCTAATTAGCAAGGGAAATTTCAAGGGGTGTTTCTATAATTTGAAAACAACATGGGTGCCAACTTCAGCTGTAATTAATTTAATTTAATGTGTGTCAGTTACTTACATCAGAAAACGTTTTTATGATTGTTTTTATGTGGAGGGAATTTTCATTATCTGTATGTCTTCTCACTTCTATCCATAGCTAAGAGGGCAACAGCTACACAGATAACTGTTGGGTAACCCATGAATATGAGCCAAATGTTCCCTTGTAATAGTCTGGCTGCTCAAGTCCTAGTTCTTTTATGCAGATTATAAGATATATGTTGTTTTAAAAACTGCAAGAAAATTCAGGAGTATTTTTAAAAGAAAAATTAGGAATTGTATGGTAGAATGGTCATGAAAAGGTTACTGAGGTTATCTAATTAATCCTATTTCAATTGTAAATTGAAGATTATTGGAAATGTTTGTAAATTGTGAAGCTATCCATAGATTGGATCATCTATTGATATTCTTTCCTTCTTCTATTGACTACAAACGTAAAAGCTATTACCAAGTCACATGTTAAAAGACCCAATCTCCTGGTCTGACTCAGCAAATTTATTTATGGTTGAGTGGCACAGTTCAGCAAAGTCCAACCGCTTAACTCTTGCTCTATGCTGAGTTAAGTGATTTTTTGAAAAAAATATTTGTTCATGGGACCTGGACATGACTGGCATGGCCATAATTTGCTGCCTGTCTCTAATTACCCTTGAACACAGTGACTTGATGGGTCATTTCAGTAGCACTTGAGTGTGAACAACATTGCTATGCATCTGGATTCACAGGTACGTCAGATACCTGTTTCTGTGGTGGATTTGAACCCATATAAGCAGAGCATAAGCCTGGTTCTCTGGATTATTAATCCAATGATATTTCCTCTATGCCATTGTCACCCCCATTTCAATATAGTGATAGAAATTGCTATTAAACACGAGCACCACAGCAATAATCTGTTCACTGTGTTATGGACTAGGCCAGACCCCCTCAAAATATTTTAAGAAGGTAGCCTAGACCTTAACTTTTTCTTATTTTAAAAATAGATCTGAAGTGGGTGTTCCAGGTGAGATGCAATTGGTCAAACCACTCGGCTTTAAGCAAAACACAATTTATTTAAACACTACAGTTGAAACACAAACAAAACGCGGAATTTAGAATAACTTAATTATTGAAAAACCTAACCGACCCGATACAGCAACTTAGCTAATTAACTGTTCCAATATAGTAACATCTCATAAACATACCTCTTGGCAAAAAGGTAAATTCAAACGCAGATTCTTACAGGCAGGAGGGAACAACATCCAGAGAGATTTCAGAGAAAGTCAGAGGAATCCTTTACTGCAGCTTGCAACACTTCTGGTACTCAAAACATCTTATGACTGCTACAGCTAAAAAAAATTTAGAAAAAACCTGAAATGGGAGAACTGGCTACACCCCTTCCATTGTTAAACTGTTACTCCCTCGTCTCTTTGTCACCTCTGCCATTACAACCTCTCTTCAGAAAAATCAAGGACAAAATAACCTTTATGAAGTGACAGCATCGTCACAACTGATGCTCATTTTAGTTTCTGTCAAGACCACTCAATTCTTCGCTTCGTTACAGCTCTGGCCCAACCATGGACAAAGATCTGAATATCAGAGTTGAGATGAGAGTGACTACCCTGACATCAAGTCAACATTTGACCAATAAGAACACCAAGGAGTTCTGATAAAATCAAAGTAAATAGGATGTGGAGAGAAAACGCCACTGGTTGGAGGCATATCTAACACAAAGGAAAATATTTGAGATTGTTGGAGGTCAACCATCTCAGTACCAGGAATTGCTACAGGAGTTCCTCACGGTAGAGTCCAAGATGCAACCATCTTCAGCTGTTTCGCCAATGACCTCCCTTCCATCATGGTCAGAAATTTACCTGATCATTGCATGTTCAGTAGGATTCGCAATTCGTTAGACACTGCAGACTGCCAATATGTAGTAAGACCTGGACAACACTTAGGCTTGAGCTGACAAATAACAAAAACATCTGTGCCACGCAAATGTCAGGCAATGAACATCTCCAACAAGACCGAATCTAACCATCATCCCTTGACATTCAATGTCATAACCATCACTGAATCCTCCATTATCGACATCCTGGACTGTACCACCGACTAGAAACTGAACTTTATCATCTGTATAAATGATATGGCTAGAAGAACAAGTCAGAGACAGAATTCTGCAATGAATAGCTCACCAACTGACTCCCCAGAGCCTGTCCACCATCTAAATGAAGCCAGGAGTGTGATGGAATACTTTCCACTTGCCTGGATAACTGTAGTTTTACCAATGCTTGAGAAGCTCAACACCATTCAGGACAAAGCAACCCACTTGATTGGCAACAACAATTACCACATTCAGCATTCACTCCCTTCTCCAACAAAATAGTGGCAGCAGTATGTACTATATAAAAGAAGCACTGCAGAAACTAACCAAGGCTCCTTCAACAGCACCTTCCAAATTTGTAACCTCTACTACCTAGAAGACATGAGCTTGGAAAGACCAAAAAAGCTAGGCGATACGAGGAGTAACACACTGGCTTTTGTACACTTGGGACAGGATGGGCAAATTAGTTTAAATTGAAGGGTCTAGGCCCGAAGCGTCAGCCTCTCTGCTCCTGTGGTGCTGCTTGGCCTGCTGTGTTCATCCAGCCCTGCACCTTGTTGTCTCGGATTCTCCAGCATCTGCAGTTCCTACTATCTCTAGTTTAAATTGGGCTTGTCTTTGAAATCCATCATGATATTATGGTACAAATATTGGCCATTTGGGTGAGGCATCATAGTGAAACTGGCTGTTTTAGAACTGTAGCCAACTAAGTATCCCCAGAATCTTCATAATCCTCAGAAGATGATTGGAAAGGAATAAAACTAAATTTAGAAAATGCAAGAATATTTGCGTTTTTAAGGTAAGTCAAAGCAACTGCTGAGAATTACTGCAGAGGAAAACTCCTCTGTGATTTTACCATTTGGTAGATCATGACACAGCTTCCACCACAAGATTTTGAAAGTTATTACCTATTCATGTTATTCTGTTTAGGTTTCAGCTGAACTACTAGAGAAAGAACGTAAACTGCAGGAGGTGGAAACTTTTGTCCAAACGTTGACCCTAGAAAGAGATCAAGCAATATCTGCGTTGCCGAAGCATGGTGTTTTTCCAGAACAGGATTCACAGGTGAAAGTTATTTATTAATGTATTATCATGCCAGGAATGTTTTGTCCCTGTTTTCTGCATCTTTCCCACTTTCTGTTCATAGAAGTGAAAGACTGTAATATGCTGATGGTATTGCAACCACTGGAGTCCTTTCTTCAAAACAGGGTGCTTCCTTAATGTGAGTTGTCAAAATTAGCAAGATTCTCCATAATGATAAAAATTCTGCCAAAGCCGTTTGGAAAGGAGCACTTTTTCATACAAGGCTCCACAAGCCAGCACAATACTAGATAATTTCCTTCAGAAGGAACTCTGATTTTAGAGTACGTTAATTCATATCATACATGTAATCTATCTAGGATTGTACAAATGGTCTAAAGTAGTTCAGGATGGCAGAAAGGTGACATAAGATGGCTTTGGCAAACAGAGTTAAGGGATTTTATAAATACATTAAGGGCAAAAGGGAAAGAATAGGCCCCTAAAGATCAGCAAGGCCACCTAAATGCGGACCCACAGGAGATAGGGAAGATACTAAAAGAGTAATTTGCGACAGAGTTTGCTGTATAGAAGGATATAGAAGAGATAGAATGTGGGGAAATAAATAGCACCAAATTGAAAAATGTCCATATTAGAGGTGGTGGTGCTGGCTGGCTTAAAACACATAAAAGTGAATAAATCCCCGGGATCTGATCAGGTGTACCCTAGAATTCTGTGGGAAGCTAGGGAAGCGATTGCTGGGCCTTTTACTGAGATACTTGTATCATTGATAGCCACAGGCGAGGTACCAGAAGACTGAACGTTGGCTAACGTGGTGCCACTATTTAAGAAAGGTAGTAAGGAAAAGCCAGGGAACTATAGACCGGTGTGCCTGACATTGGTGGCGGGCAAGTTGTTAGAGAGAATCCTGAGGGACAGGATTTACACGTATTTGGAAAGTCAAGGGTTGATTAGAGAGAGTCAACAAGGCTTTGTGCCTGGGAAATCGTGTCTCACTAACTTGATTGAGTTTTGTGAAGAAGTAATGAAGAGGATTGGTTAAGGCAGAGCAATGGACACGAACTATATGGACTTCAGTAAGGCGTTCGACAAGGTTCCTCATAGTAGACTGGTTAGCAAAGTTAGATCACATGGAATACAGGAAGAACTAGCCATTTGGATACAGAATTGGCTTGAAGGTAGAAGACAGAGGGTGGTGGAGGGTTGCTTTTCAGACTGGAGGCTGGTGACCATGAGGATCGATGCTGGGTCCACTGCTTTTCGTCATTTATATAAATGATTTGGATGTGAACATAGGACAAGGTCTTTTCCTCGGAGTGGTGGAGTCCAAAACTAGAGGGCATAGGTTTAAGGTGAGAGGAGAAAGATTTAAAAGGGACCTAAGGGGCAACATTTTCACGTAAACGGTGGTGCATGCATAGAATGAGCTGCCAGACAAAGTGGTGGAGGCTGGTACAATTACAACATTTAAAAGGCATCTGGATGGGTATATGAATAGCAAGGGTTTAAAAGGTTATGGGCCAAATGCTGGCAAATGGGACTAGATTTATATAGGATATCTGGTCGGCATGGATGATTTGGATGAAAGGGTGTGTTTTCGTGCTATACTGTACATCTCTATGACTCAACAACTCTATGGTTTGTTTTTCAGTACCAAATCCTTTCCAAGCATAGGGATTCAGGAGAGGATAGGTGTTTTATGAGCAGGAGAGAGGAAAAACAGGAGCTTTTGCACCTTCAGTTTTTCAATAAGAAAAGTGAAAGAGCAGATCCGTTCCCAAATGAACAGGTAATATGGAGAAACTTAAGAGAAAAACCCAATTAGAAAAAGAAATTCCAGCAATTGTTCCATACTTAGCTGAGCTTCGCTTCAGTATGAGATCACATGTCTCTAAATAAATTTAGCTTAACCTATGGCAGAATATACACATGCTTGGTCACTGTGCTGCCCTTAGACACTCATTTGCTTCTTCAACTGAACTAAAGTGCTTTTTCAAATGATACTATTGCAACAACCTAGATTTACATACTGCCTTCTACGTATCAAAAATCCCAAAATACTTTATAAGAAGAGTCAAGAAGACCAAGCTGGAAATAAGAAATAGAGGAAGACCAGATGATTAACCATATGGTCAAAGTGCTAAGTTTAGAGGAGATTTTTAGAATTGGAAAGACGGATTGCAAAGTGAAAAATTTTAGCAGAATTCCACAGTGTAAGAATGTGAGGTTGAAGGCTGAGTCACTAATTCTGATGCTGAGGCAAAGAAGGATTTCACAAATAGGTTAGAGTTGAAACAACAGATTGTTTGTTTGGGTTCACAAATATGAATATAGTGTACTGGAGCCAAGAATATGTTAAAGCTACACTAATTTTCATTGAGCTCCTGCTTTAATATTCTGCTTAGCTTTGGAAGCCTTATTCTGGCAATGATGTTAAGGCCGTAGAGAGGGTATCGAAGAAATTCACAAAGATGATATCACTGATGGGACATTAGTTACCTATAAATATTATAACACTTAAAACAAAACAAAATGAGAGGAGAACTGTTAAAAATAAATGCAGGCCATATTGTGAAGATAAATCAGGAAAATCTATCTCACTGAATCGATGAGTTGATAACTAGAAGGTGTAAATTTAAGATTGGAGGAAAAGAAAAGGTTTGAATACTTTTCCTTTTTATAGCATATTTGGACATGGGTTGAACCATTTAGAAATAGTGATGGAAACAGAGTCTGTAACAGCTTTTAAAATGGAAATGGAAGAAAATTTGCATCACAAAATGCAAATTGCTACACCAGTTGTGACCAGGAATTCACCACCTCTACAACATTTGATTTCAAAAGCTTTGAAACAGTTAGCAGCTCTGTAAATAAGGCATCAATAGGGATCAGAGATAACAAGGTGTAGCGCTGGATGAATACAGCAGGTCAAGCAGCATCAGGGGAGCATGAAAGCTGATGTTTCGGGCCTAGACCCTTCTTCAGAAATGGGATCATACTGCTCTTCTGTCAAGAGACAATATCGTGTATGGTACTTGCCTTACACAGACTTTTCCTTTTCAAAATCAGCTTGTTCAGCTGTCAGCAGTGCAGCAGATTATCTCATCTGATATCACCAAAGTTTTGAGACTACATTCTCAACATCTCTTGCAGCTGGAAGGATGTTCATCAATCAGGATAAAATTTTGGAAAATGTTTTTAAAAGGATATAGGGAACGTGCAGGGCAATTGGATTAATTGAAATGCTTTCTCATAGCCCATTACTCATAAATGCATTGACGTGTCCAGCACAGAAAGAGCCTATTTTCCCATTGTGTACACACTAGTCAACATCTACCCTATATCTACATGGCCTCTTTCAATGTACAATTCTATAATTCAATATTTTTGTATGTAAGACTGGTGAAGCTTGTACAGGGAATGTAGAACATGGACCTAGAGAGATTTGAAAATGAGGAAAAATATTTCAGAATTAGTATTTTGATTGAGAGTAAGTGGAGTTACTCAAGGAAAGGCAACATAATTTTGTGGAACATTTTGTTGAAAAGGATGTGATGCACAGGTTTGAAAATATTGGAGTTTTGTGTAGGATTGCGGCATAGATTTGAAATCTTTGAACAAATCGTAATTGAACTTCTCAGTATCAGAATAGAAAGTTTGGAAAATATCGAGTGATTTTGTTGAGACTGGTAATAGGAGAATGTGATGTTAAGGAGGTTATTATATATATGAATTTTGTAAGATTGTTATTTTTGGGACTTTTTAATTTAGGGTGAAAGGGAGGAGTGAAGGAGATCATGTGACATGTTCTGCAGTTCACCTAGCAGCAGGCTGGGTGACTTGCAGATTTCAAACTAATGTTTTCTTGAGGGCTATTCTTGATATTTTCTGGGTTTTTTTAATGTTTGGGATTCCTTTTTCATTCTCTCTAATTCATTTACTAATTGATGCAGTCACTTAATAACAATACTTGTACATTTGTCTTGATGTTTTGGGTCTTTGTTCTCTCAGAAGCAGAATTAGGATCATCAATATCCTCCATAATTATCAATCCTCTACTAAATGTAAAGCCATTACACAACAAATCTCTTAATATCCTAGACACCACAGTATTTAAATTGGTACAACAGACGTATGTTAACAACAAAAGATTTTTCAAAATAACAGACATACCTTTCTAAATACAAAAAGTCAGTACCCTAAACATAGCTTCTACAGGACTGGTGAAGTTGCAGCTGATGCATTTCCATGACCTATAACACACAACTGGAATATTTTAACCAATCCCCACCCCATTTGCAACCCCACACTCCGTGACCACATGACTTGCTGCTTCATCTTCCCAACCCCTTTTTAACAATTGACATACAGTGTTCATTTCAACAGCATCCACTACATTTCCTTGCATTGGAACTCTTGAAGTCCTATAGAAATTCTCTATTAATTTGCAAGGAGTTCATCCCTTCAGTTAATTCAAGTATTCCTGGCTGCTTTAGCTCCCAGTGAGCTGAATATTTACCGTTGACAGGTTTAAAACAGTTTTCTCTCCCTCTATAGCCTCCTCCTTATATACTCTCCACTTGGCTGGATGGGTACAACTTCAACAACACTCAAGAAACTTGACACCATCCAGGACAAAGCAGCCCACTTGATTTTCACCACATCTACAAACATCCACTCCCTTCACCACCTGTAGCAGCAGTGTATACTATCTATCAGAATGCACTACAGAAATTCACCAAAGATCCCTAAACACCACCTTCCACACCAATGACTACTTACATCTAGAAGGTAAAGGGTAACAGATACATGGGAAAACCACCACCACCACCTCTCTGAGCTACTTACTATCCTGACTTGAAAATACATCGCTGTTCCTTCACTGTTGCTGGGTCAAAATCCTGGAATTCCCTCCCTAATTGCATTGTGGGTCAACTCACAGCAGATGGACTGCAGCGGTTCAAAAAGGCAGCTCACCACCATCTTCTCAAGGGCAGCTAGGGATAGGCAATAAATACTGGCCAGCC